TGCTTGCGGTGTGTTCGCAGACACCACGCGATCCAGTCTCCAATGCGGTATACATGACATGTACACCGATAAACTGAGTTTACATTTGGTGCTGCGCTCTAGCCAAACTGATATCTGAACCAGTGATGACAACTGCATGCCCATTAAGTAGTCGTTGTTACTGCGAACTTGCTGTTAAAATTGAACTCAGAACATTGAGATGCACATGCTAAACAATAGAGTGGACTTCATCGTGTGCCCCTTTAAACAAGCAGCTGGACGCCCAGAATTTGCCAGTGTGGCCAGCAACAATAGCATGTCGTCGTTGGTTAGACAATCGTCGATATCGACGGTCGATATCATATCTTCCTAATTTCAAATGCGATTGCCACACTACGTGCAGCTGAGAAGGAGCGAATGAAAGCAAGAAGTCATCGTCAGCTGGTTGCTCTCTTTGGCAGCTCCGTAATGGATTCACTAGAGAGCAATACACTCTTGACAAGAGTGTATTGTGCCTTCTCTAGCTGCCCAGCTGAGTGGTGGTAGCTACGATTGAACTGCGTGCTTTTCATTATCATGACACGCAGCACTTCGGAGGCCATAGGCTTTGTTACCCATAACGTGCCGCTACTCTAGGGAAGATCACATATCCCAATGTGTGAAATGCATCCGGTGCGTGAAAATCGATATGCAAGTTAGAGTGAAGGAAGTTGAGCCGACGCTAGGAGATGGCTACACCGCTGCCGCATCTTACAGCGTTAACGTTGCGAATAGATGCGCCTGACCACGCGTGCAATGTTGCCGAGTTGACGAGCAGACAGAGCGAACTCCAAGGCTCCCCGCTGCAACGTTCGCTTCTCAACGTTTTCGCTATCAGCCCAGCCCGAACGCATTCCCCGGACAGTCCACTTCACGGAAGCCCGGGATCGGGGAACTAATGGGCTGCAGACAAGCAAAATTTCGGCAATTACACATTTGACCATTTGGCTACAGGTCACACTGCGACTTGGCTCCACCGAACGGTACAGTGTGCCATGTATTCAGTGGAGGTCCGACTCTCTCGCCTCGTCTACACACCGTTAGTCGCCCTTTCTGTTCCTCTGCCAATCAAATGGGAGCTTCGAACACACAACACCTGGCTGCATGACCCAGCCCCGCATTCTACCGTTCTCCCCCGCCCTCCCTCGAGCCTATCGCGGCGGCTGTGCGCGTCGCCTGCTCGCGCCCGTCATTCCATCAATCGCTTCCGGTTGCTGCCCCCCCACGCTCGACGCTGCTTGCGCGTCGACGTACACTTTGATTGACTGAACAGGACCGACAGACATGGTGCATGTGCGCGCGGTGCGTGGCTTGGCGCTCGCGGCGCTGGCCATCGCGCTCGCCACAGAGACACAGGCCCTGACCGTCGACACGTCCCGCAACCTCTTGCTCGGCCTCGACGCGGGAGTGGACGTAGGAACCGTCACGAACGCAGCCACGGTCGCGCCCTCGGATAACGCGGACACACCTGCGTCAGCGCCGTCGAGCGGTTCTTCCCCGTCGACGGCCGACTCACCCTCGACCGATTCCACGCCGTCCGCAGCTGGCTCTCCATCGACGGATGCTACACCGTCGACTGCCGAGTCCCCGAGCTCGGGTAACTCGCTCCTGTCTCCCGTTACTAACATTTTGACGCCAGCCACGGACGCCCCTACGGCTACGACAGCGCCGTCCACCCCGACAACTTCGGACGACTCGTCGACGCCGGCAACGGATGCACCGTCGACCCCGGCCACGGAAGCTCCTTCGGTTCTGTCGCCTGTGACGAACTTGTTGACACCCGCGCCAGACACTGATGCT